CATTGCACTGGAGTCATGGTAGTGTATGGGCGACTCCAGGTGACGTAGTCAACTGCGACTCTTTAACGACTCTTATCCAACGGAGAAAAAGAGTCACACGACTCCTTCCTGGTAATCCCCGTAACTCTGTAATAAGAGTTGTGAGGACCCACCTTTTATAAAGAGTCCCCCGACTCCTATCGCAAAAGCGTCATGGGAGTGTATGAGCGACTATCTGAAAGATAATCAGTGCTGACTCTTACATTGTCTGGAGTATAACAGCCCTAGTCAAGTATCAGTTCGTTGAACAAAGGGAGGCATTGTGATCGTTAGGAGACTTCTTGCCGCCTGCGAGGTTCAACTTGAATTTCGCTAAAACAAGGGTAGTAACATCAACTGTGTGCAAGTAAAAAAGTTGAAATGGAAACTTCGATTCCACCTATAAGAAGCGGTAACATCAATTGCCAGCAAGTATAAACGTCGAAATGCAGAACTGATATCTTACAATTTCCTGTAATGAAACATGGAAAAATGAACGATGATGGTCTTAACGATGCTGAACTGAATGCTGCTCTAAAATTTATCATGAAACACAACAGAAGCTTTCAGGACAGCATTATTTTGTTACATTGGAATTTGCACACAAGAAAAAAAGAAGTAGAAGTTTTTTTTTTATCGGCAGCTTAACTTTCTATTAGCTTGATTATTCTTATCATTTACAATGGGTTGTATATCGTTTTTATCACATGTCTAGACTATTGGCAAGAGCTGGTGTGAACGAGCATGTTCTGTTGCTTCATGCCTGCTTTGAGTGGACAGGTGGGTGGCAATAAATCGCAGGAATCTTCAAGTTTAACAATAAAGATAGCTGTTTTGTCTCAGCTGATATCACTGCCATTTGTGCAAATGGAACTTCATGAGTCCTACGATGCAGGTACTGCAATATAAGCCACAAGTATTTAAAACAATTACTTTATTAGAAACTAATGTGATACATATTGCCTCAAAGGCCTGCTTCGGCTTATCACAACCGTTTTATCACAATAACTAAAGAAATAACATCATAAGAAATAATACTAATACACAAAACTGGTATAACTATTAGACAAGAACGCAAATAAATTACAATGACAAGTTTTGTGAAGGCTTCCCTACTGAAAAAAACTATATGAACCCATATGGCAAACCATATGGAGTAGTATGGATTTATATGGTTCCATATGGCAAACCATACAGGATGGTATGGATTTATACGGTTCCATATGGCTGAACCATACCGAGCCATACCATACACATATGGTTCCGTATAGTTGGATATGACTGAACCATACCGAGCCATACCATACACATGTGGTTCCGTATGGTTGTATAGGCTGGCCCATACAAAACTATATTCATTCATATGGTCGCACCAGTACCATATACTGAACCGTTTACGTCCATATGACTGCAAACAATTCCACCTTTTGTCACGCGCATCGCCGACCAAGCGCGCTCGTGGTCGAATGGTTATCGTCTTTATATCCTACGCAAGGGGCTCGAGGTTTGATGCCTTGGAGCGGACGCGCCTTTTTTTATTTCTGTAATTTTTGAGTTTTGGTAAATTCGAGAACCCTGTTGGGGCTTATTTGAGGTAAGAATGTCCTATGGGCCGAACCTCCTACGTTGATTTTTTGAGGAGCCCACATGTGTACATAAGGAGCTCCGTGTTGAGAGCCGGGGTCAGTCTCGCCCCAGCGTTTGATTGGAAGTGGGTATTCGGCTGGTAGCTGGCACACCAGGGAAAATAAATGCCGGCCGTTGTCCCATATTCGGTCTCGTATAAAATAAATTGTGAAACAGCAAATCGGAACTGTCGAGTGGCCCAGTGGTAAGGTGTCTGTTTCATAATCGATTGGACACTGGCTCGATCCCTACGCTTAAGTTTTTTTTTTTTTGGGGGGGGGGGGGGGGCATTTGGCGATATTTACAACATTTCTTCATTTCTTCAGCAAAAGCACTTTAGCAGTGCTTTTGCTGAAGAGACAAAACAAAACTATATTATAGATTTTTTGCATTTTTATTGAAATATCTATATAAATCTTCCAATAAAAAAGGCATTTCACATGAGCATGTTCTGGCTCGCCGCAGTCGCAATCTCATGCTAACCCGGCTGTAGTTTTTTTTTTTTGTAAACAATGCCCTACCCATATAATGTTTGTACAGGATTTGCGTAAATCTGGAACCTGTTCACAAATAGGTGTCCGTTTGTGTAAACCCATGCAAGCAGTTGCATCAGACTGTGCGTATGGGTCAACCATTTAGATGAGTAAACTTGTATAAGCAGGTCCTAATAACCTTTGCACAAAGAATAAGGCCTAAATGTTGTTGCTGAAAAAGGCTTGAAAACGTAATGTAAAAAGGTGCTTGTGGATACTGATGTACCGAATTACACCAAGTAAAATCTTAATCTAAACTGTCCTCTGTGTTGATAGATCTTGTGCCAGCAGATAGCTAGATCTTGTGCCAGCAGAGCCAGCTAGATCTTTCTTGAAATTTTCTTTGGTAGGCCGCAAGACATGAAAACAAGAAAACAGAACCATGAGTATTTACCAACGTTATGTTGATCACGTTTTGAATGTTTGCTAACGCCGGCCTAGTGATCTACAACCGGGAACTCTGCCAGATTAGTCAACTTAACAAATTTAAAGTATAACTAGCACCACCGAAAAAATTCTACGATTCTTTTGATTAGGTTACCCTGCAAAACTGTCAGATTAGTCAATTTAACAAAAGTATACCGACAGCACCACTGAAAAGGTTCCACAATTCTTTTGATTAAGGTTGCCCCGCAAAAGCATTTTATATATGCGGTCAGCATATGAACAGTCCTTTCCACAGCCCCAAGGCTCTGCTACTTGACAAAATCCAACTACTGTGTTCTCCAACACGACGTGCTTAGGTTCAAACATCTATTCTACAGCTCATGAAGGTTGTTCAAATTTAACAGTTCCATCAGTGTGCCCAAATAGAAAGTCTCAAGAGGCTTTTATAAAGTCACTGCATAGCCGAAACGTAAATACTCGCACATATTTCAAATTATGTTCTTTTACGCACGACAGGTTGTCGTGCATCGGCTTCTGCGTGCATCGTTTTGCCGATACCCGTCATGCCTCGGCCAACCTCAGGTCACAGAGCGAGTTGCGCGGCCGCAACACGGTAGGCGCCACCATCGAGGTGTACAGTAGCGCTCGCGTGGTCGGAGGCGCTCATTACTAAAAAATAAACAAAACAATGATAATTGAAGCTTACTGTTAGTTCCATAATAGTCACTTATTACTCAACACAAAATCAAATGAGTATAATTAAAAATGTAAAATATTTTTCTCCGACTTTGCGTGACTTTCTTGTGTTGTCGAGTTTAAACCGAAACCGTTGCCCGCACGCTACCGCGCTTATGCGCCTGCGCGATGCAAACCCGCGGCCGTTTCGCCCGGGCTCAAGCGCCGGCGCGCCGGCTCCCCCTCGCCCCTCTCCCAAAGAAGAAAAAAAAAAGAGAGAGCGAAAAACAAACGGATTTATCTCCATCGCTCCGCGCGGCGCGTTCCGTGGTTTTTGGGGTGGAGTTCGTAAAGTCGAACTCAGTTTTGGTTTCCTCTCCATGAACTCCCTATGTCGAAGGGGGGTCATTCTGTGTGTTGCGCGAAATGGTGCCTGAACAGTGCAAGGGACAAGAGGCACCGTTTCTTTCGAATACCCACGGACGACATGTGAGTCGGAAAGTTTGTATCAGAAACTGAACTAACTTTGCAGGCACAGATCCCTGTGCTGCTAGTTCGTGTTTGCTTTACTTCACATATTTGAACATCAAATATATGATTTTATTTAGATTCATGCATTCGCGCATAGATCAACACGCGCAAAGCGTGAATATACGATCGCTATTATATACTCTAGACTCTACGTATTTTTTCGTTAGACATTGGATCGCGTACTTCGTGTTCTCCTTATGGGAAGGCATTTATATCCAAGGAAGATGTGTGTATTGGAGAACATAAAACTTTGTGTTCGTCACCCGCCTTCAGCATTAAATAAACAAGAAGATATTTAAAAAAAAATGACTGCGGGATTTAGACAGGAGTGAACGGGGACTCAGTTCAACAGGGAGGAAAAGGGATTTAATTTCACGATATTTAAAACATTCTTCAAATTTTTACATGTGGACATAAACATTCTTCAAATTTTTACATGTAGACATTTCTTATTTTTTGAACGCAAAATATGTTTAAACAATACCAAACCGGGAAAGGACGGAGGGAGCCGTTTGGCGATTCTCACTTATGACATGCGACATTACATAAAATATGTTTTGATCGGTTATTCACACTGAAAAATAAACAAAAAAAAAGTTTTTAGATGTCATCGTGTTCGACGCACTGTGAAATAAAAAAAAAATAAGGTTTTGTTGAATTTTTGTTTGCATTCTTTTTATGTGTTTAGCCCTTAGATATGACGAGCAAAGCGACGATTAATGTAGTGCTGAGCCTTAAAGTATGCTATAAACCAGTAACTTATGACAGCCAGTTTTTGATATTTGCAAACTGTCAATTTTGGATGAGCCCCAAGCGTCTAGAAATTTCTACCAAATTCTACTCAATATAATTAGAGAACTTGCCTGACTAGATTAGATGCACTACCCTAAACAAATGAGTATCTGTCGCCAAAAGCTTGGGATCGAGTGTGATTTAAAGATATCACGGATAATTATCCAAACTTGCCGTCCTTTCTAATTTTGCTGAGATTTTATTTCCTGGAAACGAAAGATGTCTGAATGTTCAAACAGAAGCGTTGCCTTTGTGCAGTATATGCCACAATTAGCATATCGAAAATTTAATAAAGATAAAAATAACATGAATATACCTTACAGCCTGAATTCAAATAAAATTCCCCACTATATGAATTATTTTGACTATCAAGAGTTTGAAGACATTTTAGCGGGGTAAATATATTGTTCTGTTACTAATATTGATTAAAATTTGCAGATTTGAAAGGTGGCTCTCTTATGCCAACAGACCCGACCTCCTGGAGAAGCCTAGGAAAGAGGTAAATAAAGCTTTCCGGCTTTGTTCAGAACACTTCTCAAGTGACAGCTTCTGCAATGAAAAACCAGATTGAAGGCAGATGCAACACCCTCCGTTGTTGTCGCGAACATCAGAGTCCGGGCCCTTGTCACCCCTGGTATGTTTTCTGACTTCAGCAATCGGCTGCTTGAGCTGACGACTCTTTTGTTATAATTTAGGCTACTTCAGGGACCCACGCAGTGACGTGCCCGAGCCTGTTGCTGGCCCAAGCAAGGGTAAGTACTTTCATTTACTATACCGATGCATGCAGAAAAGAGAGGGAGGGCAGTGATGAAAAAAAATCATAATAGAACTGGGGAGTCCTAGCTTTGGTTTAAAAAATACCATTTTCTTTGCCATCCTATCTCAGCCAAATAAATAAGGGAGAAAGCCTAATTCTCTCAAAAACAATTGAGACCTCAATTAAATGAAACTATCATTGTTCCTTGCACAGGCTCTCCTTCCTCACTTCATGCCCTGGAGGAAGAAGGGACTGCACCAGAAATGGAAGCTGGCATGGAGTGCTCACTGCTTGACACAACAGATGATGGTGAGCTTTACTCAGCAATATGCTCATTACAACTAGTTTTACCCCAAATGGGATAGTCACACTTCATATGCCCTATTTTGTGTATCCATGCAGATCCTCATATGATGGACATGGACTTAAGTGTCCCACAAGAACCGAAAAAGCCAGAAACACAAGGTAAAGTGATTATTGGCACAGTGCACGGCCAACAAAATCTACCGTAATATACCGAGCAAGCGCCCACTCAAAATTTGAAGATAATCGCGAAAAAATAGGGGATGGGTGCATGTGAGGTCGTCAATTTGACATACTGTATATGTACTGTGCATATTTTTTTCAGATATTTCAAGTTTTTGGGGGTGGGCACTTAGTGCGGAGTGGGCGGATGCATGGTACTCTACAGTACCATAAATTACCTGGCAAGCACCCACTCAAAATTTAGAGATAATCGCGAAGAAATGGGGGATGGGCGCTTGTCCGGTCGTCAATTTTACATATAAATGTACTGTGCATATTTCTTTCATATCTTAGAAATTTGTATATGGGCGCTTAAATGTGGAATGGGCGGATGTGTGGTATTCTACGGTAGTGATAGAGGCAATCTTGCCCGTGGTAAGCTTTATTGAAAACAGCTATGGCATGGGCTTGGCTGAGGATAAATAAGGAGAGGAGTCCTACGCTTAGAGAAAATCATACCGCATTTTTTAATCTAAATTTTTTTAGGGCTATTTCTTTGTGAGTGTGTTGTGACCAGGGACATAAAAGCTGTTCTGTTACATGAACTTTTGTTTCCTATGCAGGTCCTAAACTTATGGAGACTAGCTCTGATGTGCCCCAAGAACCAGGAGCTCCAGAAACACAAGGTATGGTTTCCTTAGGCACAGTGCTCCCTCCTGCCGGTCGGGCTTGCATCTAACATGATCAACAAACTCTAGTGGTGTAAGCTACATTGCATGTGGTAAGCTCCCAAGAAAGCTGACTGTGGTGTGGGGTTAAAACAAGAGTCTAAAGCTTAGGACGTACCTTACTGATGATTTTTTTCAACCAGATCTTTTAGCCACTTTTCTCCTCTGTTAGCGTGTCGTGACTAGGGAAACCAACATTTATGTTATTTTATGCAGATCCCCCCAAGGTAGATGTCAGTGCGGACAACGAGGTGCCTGGCCCTTCCCACGGGGGCCATATGACTCCCGTGGTAACTCCAAAGAAGGCTGGGCGGAGGGGGCGGGTCTTTACCCCCGAACACAGCGACGCCTGACAAAGATTCGGAGTGCAAGCAGCAGGTATCGGAAGGCCCTCAATAGGCTAAGAGGAATGAAAGGTTCCAAAAAGGTGTCGAGACAGGAAGCCCTAAGGAACATTAAGGACTATGTCCCAAAAGAGCTTTTTAAATTGCTATCAGCCCAGGTGCATCTCACATCTCCGAGCAAAAAAGGGAGGAGGTGGTCTGAGGAGGTAAAGCAGTTCGCTCTGAACCTTTACTTTCACGGGCCAAAGGCCTACAGGGTCCTATCTCGAGTGTTTGAGCTGCCCACGGAAAGGTCCCTCAGAAGGTGGCTGTCATCCATTTCTATGAAACCAGGAATAATGACTTGTGTCCTAACTAAGCTCAAAAGTATAACTGAGAATTGGCAGCCCACTGATCGGGTATGTACTTTAATGTTCGACGAAATTTCACTGAGGCGGCATTTGCAGTATGACATTGCACATGATGTCGTAATTGGCTTCGAAGATGACGGCACCAGAAGGACCAAAGATGTGGGCACTACAGCACTCGTGATACTCCTCGCTGGTATTGTGAGGACCTGGGTGCAGCCTGTGGCTTTTGCCATCTCGAAAAGGCAGACAAATTCATCTGCTATTCGGACACTCTTGATTGGCATCATAGAACAGCTGCAAGAAGCAGGTATTACTGTCAAAGCTGTAATCTGCGATCAAGGGACAAACAATGTCAGCTTGGCTGGTCTGCTAAATGTGTCGATCGATGAACAATTCTTTGAAGTCAAAGGCACGAAAGTTTATTTCCTCTATGACACGCCACACCTGATGAAGTACACAAGAAATAACCTTCGTGCTCACAAATTGCAAATCGGATCAGAAACTATTGATTGGACTTACATTGAAACACTGTTCAAAGTGACTCATGACACTTCCGCTGACAGCATTGCTGCACCTAATTATCATCTAAAATCCAGATTGGCAAAAAACTAACGGAAAGACACATTTATCGGAAGCCTTTCAGTGACATGAGAGTCAAGTATGCCACACAGGTGATGAGTGAGTCAGTTGCTGTGGCACTCTTGACTCTCCTTGCCATCGGGGAATTGCCAGCTGCAGCAACTGACTTCCTCGAAAGGATGGACAAGCTCTTCGATTGCTTAAACAGCTCGGTTGTCAAGCAACCGGGAGACAAGCTGCGTTATGCAATCAAAGAGCAGTCCGAGCATGCCTCCTTTCTTGAACAGTGCCTGCCTTGGACAGAAAGCTGGAGGTTTGTTTCTGCAGACAAACGGCAACCCCACACTATCAAAGGATGGCAGGTCACAATCAAGGCTGTCCTCCTCCTATGGGGCGAACTCCACCAAGATTTTGGCTTTGACTCCCTCTTGACCCGCAGATTGCAGCAGGACCCGCTCGAGAACCTTTTTGGGATTGTTCGCCAGCAGTACGGCTGTAACGACAACCCGACTGTGTTCCAGTTCATTGCCGGGCTGAAACACATTATGCTTGGGAAGTTGTTTAAGATATCCGAGAGTACGAACTGTGAGGACGACACCAGCTTTCTCCTGGCCGAGTTGAGCACTTTTCCTGTGTCTGTCCTCACAACAGGAGCTGCCCAACTCAGCCAGGCGTCAGGTGATGAAGCTGTTCAGGTCTATCCGTCTGTCAGCGACACTTCTCCAGAGGTCCCTGACATAGTAAAGGACAATGTTGTCTACTATGTCAGTGGTTCCCTGGTTAAGTCATTCCTTCGAAGCAAATCCGCAGACTGCGTCTGTGAACGTTTCCTGACAGACAAAGGACCTGAACAGCTCCACGGTTCGCACCAGTTCTACAGCCTGCTGGCGGCGAACAATGTTCCAGAGAGCCTTTTTGGGGACCTCACTGCACCTTCCGATGCATGTTATGAGTATGTGCAGCAGCTAGAAGCTCGGTTCCTAAAGAAGATTGACTCTCTGATACACCTTGGTGATGTATGTCAGACCATCTCTAAAACCATCACAAGTGAGACTGCTGTGTTCTGTAGTAAAGAGTGTCATGAGCGGTTTGTTAATATGTTTGCTAACATACGTCTTGGGTGGTATTTGAAATTCCGTAACCAGTCATTTCATGAACAAAAATCTAAGCACTCTGTCGGAGCGAAGAAAATGAGGAAACTGGCTCACTAGGCTCAATGTGTATTTCACCAGTATTCTTTGCCACATGCAGCACCACAGCAATACTTTGAGGATTAATTTTGTGTTCTGCTACGCCATATAAAATAGGAATAATGGAAAATAGTTCCATGCAAATCCCACCTGCACAGTTACTATAGGGAGTATTCACTGGCGGTCATAGCTGAGCTCGCTGCTGCTTTCTTACCACCGGAGAAGAGAGAGAGGGGAAAGATGCTTTTGGTTCGAGTTTTGAGTGGCATGTTAATCTTCTATAATTTTCTGGAGGGAGAACAGCGACGTTTGGGGAAGCCTGGGACCTGCAAAGGAGAGTCCTGGTGATGAGAGGACTTCTCCTTCCCCTCTTCTCGAGCGGTTACCCGAGAGCTGACGAAAAACTCTTCCCGGGCATGCGCTGTGAGCAGTTACCTCAAATGTGGCGTCTAGTGAATACCTCTTATAGTGATTTTCACCTCAAGAACCATAGAAAAGTTTGGCTTCTTACAAAGCACTGCTAATTTCCCCTTTTATCGGGTGAACTTAGGTGCTTGTATCTGCAGTTAAGATCACATATTTGTGACTTTAATAAACCATACACATTTCCTATCCAAAAGCATATATTCTTTTTCTGATAAGCTTTAAAAAGAACTTTGTGCAGAGACTAAAATATGTATACGTATCACTCAATTTTTTTAATGAGGATGAAACATGATGCACGTTAAAGACCCCAGGTTTGTCGTCGTACTGCGCTAGCAAACATTTCATCCACTATGAGCATAGGAGACACAATTAAAAAACACGGTTCCCACCCCGAGACGAGGAGAAATGAAATAAAAGACAAGACACCTTTCTCGGGGTTTAGATTATGTTTCCTAACCACCTTGCCTGCTTACTTTCGCCCCTTACAGTTCCCACTGTGCAATTAAGCAATCAAGGCAATATTGCCACACGTGTGGCAGACTTGGCTACGCATTTGGCAGCCACGCGGAGGAGCGGGTCTCAAACCTTGCTTAACTCGGTCCTTTCTTTTATATCTGTACTTTGCTGGAAGGTCCTAGCTCATTCTCAGCTATCATTGTGTGTTCTGATTCGGAACATTCCTGCACATATTGCATGTATAAAATCAACGGTAATGTGCTATTTCGTGACAGTCGCTACACAATATGCTTGGTATTTGTTATTTTTAGTTTGTAGGCACAAGTTGGTTTATTAGGTGTTTATTTTCAGTTTTCAATACATCCGTTACTTTCCATCTGTTTTGAAAACATGACTGGCTCTGCTGCAGAAGTATGGGTTTGCTAGCTGCTGCACATACACTTCTGTCGAGGCACTCTGGAGCTAAAAATCGGTCCACCTGCAGCTAAATTATGGAACTGGTGCTAGTTGGCACCAGTTTATAATCCGGCGGCAGGTGGACTGATTTTTACCTGGTTTTTCACGCACTGTCGTCTATTTATAAAGGGCCAGGTTATAGTTTGTCAACAGGAACGCAATGACCCAGGCCCAACACCTGTCTTTTAATCGAGCTATTCAAAGAACCGCTTTTTTCTTGTCCATTTAGTTTTAAGCTGCATTACGCTTCACTTGTCTTTGAAGCTTCACAGTATGAAGGTTTTCATAATGTTAGGAAAATGCTTGCAACTGAAGTCACCTTTTTATGTGGCACCTGTGTAATTGAACCCCTCCCCCCCCCCCCCCCCCAAAAAAAAAGCACTCATATTTAAGTGAAACCTTTGGCAATACTAATCAGCACTTTTAATATCACTTGTAAATTATATGTATAGCATGTGCATATTTTAATACAAGTGCATTTGAATACGATGTATGTACAGTATGTGTATGTGTTTCGATCTATATGTACAGTATCTGCGCATTTTAATGTACTATGTGTACTGTTTGTGCACACCTCAGTGATATATGTATAGTTTGTGTGTGCTTTTCAGTGTGATATATATACAGTGTGTGTGCATATGACTGTGATGTATATAGTTTATGTATATTGCAATAGCAGTGCATCGTCAGTGTGATCTTGTACATGATTATCATATTGCCATCTGAATGCTTAAATAAACATCGAGGCAATGCTGCATTTGTTGGATTCCCTGAAAGACGCCGATGACAGCTCCGTCAGGATACGGGCTGTCAGCTGCTGGGCGCAGGAAATCTGCGACACACGAAAAGACCAAAAGGTAGGCAAGGGCAAAACTTACAATTCTTCGTCATGAAAAGTAACACGGAAAGCGCGAACCGCAAATTTTTAAGCAAAACTTACCGCAGGAGCGGTACTTGCGGTACCGTGGTAGGGAGCAGCATGACCAACTGAGGCCATATGCCACACGGCAGAACAAAGCGGGACAGGGAGTCCGCGACATCGCCGCCGACGGCGGCGATGTCCCAGACTTTCAGTTCCGCTTAGTTCCACCGTGTAGCATAGGGCCCGCTGGGAAGCTGCGGCGGTATGTGGCTGAGGGCCGGCGCCATGTTGGATTTTGAGCGGCTTCGTCTTCGCAAACGGCTAGGAAGCCGCTGCACGTAGCTGGATGGCGTCAAAAGTCACCATTAAAACGTCACTTTTCCATTTTATGAATATAATGTTTGCTTCTTATTTTAGTTTCACAATCTACCGATATAGCAATAAGAAGCCCATTCCTTGCAGTAATGAGCGCCTCCGACCACGGAAGCGCTGCTGAGCGCCCAGTTTCCTCAGAAATCGACTCCATTGGGTCTATGGGAGTGACCGGGCACTGCCTCGGCTTCCAAAACGCTTTGCATGTCTATTAGAAGTGTTTACGGACCACAATATAAAATTTCACAGACATACCTACACTAGAACTTTATAAAATATCAATTTTAATAGGAGCTCAGGTGTCGAAGCCGCATCACTCTTGTCGATCGCTGGCGTACTCGTAAACAATGAGCAAGTGTGCACGCTGCTGCAGCCCAGAGTTTCTCGAGATGCGCATCACGTGCACACGGTGAAGCGAACTATCAGCCCGACCCATGGTGGCAGGAAGACAAACTGTATTTCGCGGATA